AAACATCGACTAATGGTGTCAATTATACTGTGGATGACGTCATAGAAGACCTTGGCGAGCCGGAGCAGAATACGGTTTTGCTAGTTTCAGACTGGAGTAACAAGGAAAACGTGCCTGCATCCAAAGATGCTATTGCGCCAGGGGTTGACAAACATTCCAGTCGGAAACGAAAGTTTACAACCAAATCTGCCAGGCTAGACAGTTCTTTGGCCATTAGCAAAGAACTTTTGGCAAATACCAAGATAAGTATAGCCCTGCTTAAAATACCCCATAGAGACCCTGTTCAAACCGATAGATATTTGTATCGGGATGTATGGTGTTTCTATAGGGTGTATCGGTTTGTATAGGACCCATAGTTGAGATTTATGGTTGTTCTATAGGGATATCCACCATTGATTTATTTGCTATCGGTTTCAATGGGGAAAATACACATAAATGTAGAAATTAGTTTTTTCCCTATAGGACCCCATAGGTTTTAATAAAATTTTGTCAAATGTTTTATGGTTGCTCTATAGGGATATCCCTATATATCCTTCATTGAGTTATTTTCTATCGGTCTCAATAGGGAAAATGTAATATCGGGCTGTATCCGGAAAAAACCATGGACAAATGCACATATTGAATCCGGTAGCGCCCGATAGATTATTTTGTATAGGTCTCTATGGGGTATTTTAAGCAGGGAGAAGCTACAGAAGCCTATCGAGCTAAAAAAACTGAAGCTATTAAATCAGAAGGAAGAAACAAACTTGCACTTAAAGGAGTTGAAGGATTACTTTAAACAGCAGTCCTATTAGTTCCGTGATTCCATCTATTTTATGGCAAGCAATATTTTTCTTTTAGTTTAATTTGGGTGTAAATAAGCAATATTTGTTGTTTTTTTAGTTTAATTTGGGTAAGAATTAACAATATTTGTTTTGTTTTTATAGTTTAATATATTTATGTTAAAATAAGAAATATTTTTTTTTAGTTTAATTAAAATGAGTTGCAATAATATGTTGTTGAATTTGTCTGCCAGCGGTAAGGTCCCTATTTACTCGATTGCCTATGTTATTTGCCTCGACGAAATCATCTATGTTGACATCCATTCCGTAGTTGACGTCTTCCAAGACTTGCGTCTATATCCCAAACCTATTCCCTGTCATTTTGGTTATGCAGGTACACTGCATTGTGCCATACCAAACTAACCCAAACTTAACAACCCAACCCAACCGACCCCGCCCCATTGGGCTCCTCCCGCCCCATTGTCACAATCCAGCCTGCCCTTAGATATATAATACCTCTATTGCTCAATGGGGCAGGAGGGGCCCAATGGGGCGGGGTCGGTTGGGTTGGGTTATTAAGTTTGGGTTGGTTTGGTATGGCACAATGCAATACCAAACTAACCCAAACTTAACAACCCAACCCAACCGACCCCGCCCCATTGGGCCCCTCCCGCCCATTGTCACAATCCAGCCTGCCCTTAGATATATAATACCTCTATTGCTCAATGGGGCAGGAGGGGCCCAATGGGGCGGGGTCGGTTGGGTTGGGTTGTTAAGTTTGGGTTGGTTTGGTATGGCACAATGCAGTGTACCTGCATAACTTTTTACTTTGAAATTTGTTAAAGAAACACTTGACAGTGACAAACTACGGAACGCATTTGACAGGGAATAGGTTTGGGATATAGACGAAAGTCTTCCAAGTCGTACTCTGACAGAACTTTAAATGTAGATGATAGTACCTCCTTATTGTTGTCGGATTTAAGTATAAAGCCATTTTTTGTTTTTATTATAACATCCTGCGAGCTTGGAAAAATATCTTGCCATTTATCAAAAAATTTTAGAAGATTTTCGAGTATAACGGCAATTTGTGAAGAACATATTCAACTTAACGTGCTTAATTGGACATTTTTGAAGATAATTTCATCATGTATAAAGATTTTAGAACCGAAATTCAAATAAAATATTCCTACTGTACGAGCGGAAGGAGAAAAGAATAAAAATTGTTTTTTAATGGTTTTAAAAGGGAAATATTTAAAAATTTAATAGCAACCTAATCTTAATACACATCCGACAGTTTGCGCTTTGCGTGTCATTCATATTCATATGAGTTGCATCGCTAAAAATTCCTTATTTATCACAAAATACAGGGATGGTAATGAGCTCTTAGGCCGTTTAATAAACAAAGATGCATGCTATATGAAACGTACGAATAAGTGAGATAAACGTATAAATAAGAGAGACAAACAACCATTGTTGAACGAATAGGATAACAAAATACTTATTTCCCCTCTGCCATAAGCGTGCACTACAAGATTTTAAAACGATTAAATCAAAACAATTAAACGTCCGCCAATGTTTTACTTCCCCTTCTCTAACTGCTTTACAATCCCACCAAGATACATACACCTTAAGATAGGATGGTGCGCATGTTGGGCGGGGCTTAAATATGTCACTTGATGAGTGTTTTTAAATCTTTAACGTGCTTTTTAATTATCTGCTGCTAAAATTCTTGTTTTTGCGATGCTGTTGGATGTTAACTTGCTCTATTTTTTGTTTAACTTGTTGTTTTTGCTTTCGGTATGGTTCGAATTACTTTTCAGTGTTCAAATTATTGTTATTGCGTTGTGTTAACCTGTTCTGTTAGTTTATTATTGTTTTTGTGTTGCGTTAACTTGTTTTGTTTGTGTTTTAGTTTGTGTCGTACCATTTGCATTTATTAAAATGCGGTGTGGCATATTTGGATGCAATTCAGACAACCAGTCCAAGAAAAACCCTTTAAATAAAAACATTAAATTTAATCGATTCCCGAAAAACTTTGATTTGTGGAAACAGTGGTTAAATGCCACAAAAAGAATAGGCAATATTAACGTTAAGACCGCTTCTGTTTCCTATAAACATTTTCTGGACAGTGGCTATAAGTTTAATTTAAAACACCAAGGCTTAAACTACAGCCCTAAATGTTATCAAGGACTAAAAGCATCTATTATCCATATTATAAAACTTTCTTCAATATTAAGTTTAATGAAAACGCACTATGTCCAGATATTTCTTTATTTTCTTTGATAATATTACTATTATTCGTGTATTCGCACGGCAACTACTCATCAAGTGACGTCATGCGCGGCATGAACCAAAACTCGTACACTGTCCCTAAAATAGTTCGCATCTATATACAAAAAATAATGAAATGAAATAGGAGTTGCGAAATGCGATTATTCGTATTTTGCAATTCGCATTTTGCTTCTATGTTTATGAAACCGAGTATAAAAGCGTCTGGGATCGCAATCAACCACAGTTGAATAGAGCCAAATTAATTAAGTAGATGTGTCGGTAAGATCTGAACCGCATCTAAGAACCAATGTACGTGAACCGTGAATAAATATATATATATATATATATATGTATACATCTTCCGCGACGTGCAGCTCGCTATGCACGGAGATTTTTTGGTCAGATCTCACATCGGTCCGGCTCACAGTTCGGGACCAAAAGCAATACGTTTTGTGTTCTCTTGTCCAGATCTAACCGATACATCTCCCTTATGATTGCTGTATCATGCGGCTCGCTAGTGCCTATTGTATTCTGTGGCGCATAACTACGTTTGGCCCAATGTCTTTTTATGTAAAATACTAAAATATTAGTCTTTTTATTGTTATAGAAATTTGTAATAAAATAAATAATATATTCCTTAATAATAAAAAAAGTTAAATAAAATATTCTCAGTACAAATAAACATGTATAAAAAAACTTTAATATTTAATAGCCTTAATAAATAATAAAGTGGTATATGTTAAAAAATACACCCAAGCTTTCATAAACAAAAATCATTAAAAGGACAGCATAATTGGTTTATTTTAACAATGTTACGTAGAATGTTTATGCACAAGGACTGTGGTCCAAATGATTTCATTTTTAGTAATTTTTTAGTTAATCTCAGATTAAAACTGCTCTTTTGAATCAATTCACTAATGTGATCAAGATTTAGTGATCCCGTTCAAAATAGTGACCCGGAACTCCCATCGCTATTCAAAAGCGATTTGAACCGTCATCCATTGTTGCCACATTGCAATTCAATTCAATTTTTACATAACAAAAACAAAATATATGTATGTGGAATTAATAAAATGTGTATTTCCTATTTATAATGGAGCACATTTTTTAGTTCCACATTGTATTATTTCGAAATGTAAATTAGTTGAGCGCCCGAGCAATTGTTTTTAAGCCCGTCTGAGCCACTTATAAATCCTTAAAAATAGTTTGATTATGTTATGTTTAATCTTGTAGGTACTTTCTTGTGAGCTAATAAAGAGTATTGTTTGACATTATTTTCTTAAGAACCTGGCCGTGTGGACAAAACACTACCCTTATTTTTCAATAAACTATCAGCTGGTGAAGTACTGACGGTATAAACCCATCCACTAAAAAGATTGTTGAGTTCAGTAGAACAAATTTTTATGAAAGATATAGCAGCACTAAATGTACATTTAACACCCAGTGCTACTAAAAGCAATTTTGCGAAAACCAGGCTGACGTTTATAAAAATATCAAATCAGCAATAAAACTGTAAGAGAAATCTTGCATGTAGAATTACATTTTGACGCATATAAGTTAGCTATTGTTCAAGAAATAAATGAAAGGGATTACCCTCAATGATAACATTTTGCACTGCAAATGCTTGCACTTAATACGGAGTATTAATAAGCGATAATGCGCATTTTCATCTTAACAGTTCAGTAAATAAATAGAATTAATTTTCATTGTTGAGCAGCACAAAATTTGCAAGGTTTGGTGTACAGTACTGGAGAAAGGGGACACTAATTTCGGAGAACATCAATATGTTGATAATTATAAGCATCATATGCCAGATTAAATTTTTTTAAACATAATTTTTCTTAAATGCCATATTCTAGCGAATATATATTTTTAAAGATGAAATTAAATATTTTAAAACCACATGGTTCTCCTGTCAACCCTGTACTTAATATTAAAGTTTGTTAATAATAATGATACAAGACTTACCCAGTTTTTCGTATTACTCTTTCTGCTTCCATAGCATTATTAATTGAATATTGAGTATTGTTGTAAATATCATCAAGTTTTGCTTTAAATTTGTTTAGATCTTCTTTAATAAATTCAACATCACCTAACATTCCATCAGAGGGTAATTTAAAGTTGATTATATTTTTTAGTAACTCATTTACTTTTCTTAACTGCTTTGTAGCATCAACCTCATTGCTTGTTAAATTATACAATTTTATTTGATTAAAAGTATTCTGTCCTTCTTGAATTGCATTTTCAATTTCTGTACCTACATATATATGTATATATTTTAGTATAAATTTTTGTATTAACTTTTTTAAGTGTTAACAGAAACTACAAATCTCTATTTCACTACAAAATCTTACCAAAATCATCATTCAATTGGAAGGTAATTTGGGCAATTTCGTCAACAGCTATATTGGCATCTTCTTCAGCTTGCAAAATATCATCATATAACTCCGAAATCTGGTCGTGTAATTGTTCACTATGTTTATTTAAAGTCTCACTATTTTCCAGCGAATAATTAGACTGTAACCCAAAAAATAAAAATTATTATTATTAAATCAAAAAAACTGCCCCAATCATTTTTTTTATTTTTTAAGACGCATTGACTCCTGAAGAAATACTAGGTTATGTTTGCGCTGTTGCCCCCTAAATAATCGCATCTTAAAAAAACTTGTACAATTTTGACAGACTGTATGACTGCAAAATAGAAAAAGCCTGTAGGTACCTACAAACCTATGTGCAATGCAAGTTATTATTTATACCTTTACAATAATGTTTATTCAGGATCCGCAAGAATTATGTAATTTTGGGGCCCTGCTGAGAGTGGACAAAATAATAATTCCCTGATTATTCATTTCTTAACTTCAACGGCCTTGGGCGAAATGCTATTTCGCCCATAGACTGAAATTAGCTTTAAGTTAAAATATTAAAAAAGTAAGGTTAAAACTATTATTATAATACACAGTGACTAGAGGCACGCTAACGTGCCGCGATTCGAAATGTTAAAGGCACGTTAATTACGTCATAATAATAATCCGTTTTTGTTCCACGAGCGTTATATTATTGATGTTAAGCTAGATAGCTCAGATGGTAGGGCGGTCTCCTATAGGGCTAGCGCAACCGAGTGCGCTAATCGTGTAGGATACGGAAGCGAGACCTGCATCTCCGTTCCCTAAGTGGTTAACGCACCGCATACGAATAAGCACTCTGCAATGAGCTTTCTAGGTGATCTTTCTTTGTATGTACATATAAAATAATAATAATAATAACCAAACAAACAGATTGACGTATGCCTTAAACGCGCGAATCATTGTATGCACGTTATAGCGCGATAATACACTAAAGGCTAAATGTAGCAAAGTATTCCTCAAGGTTATGACGAATAGCTGTTATCTTGGTTATGCAGGTACACTGCATTGTGCCATACCAAACCAACCCAAACTTAACAACCCAACCCAACCGACCCCGCCCCATTGGGCCCCTCCATAGAGGTATAATATATCTAAGGGCAGGCTGGATTGTGACAATGGGGTGGGAGGGGCCCAATGGGGCGGGGTCGGTTGGGTTGGGTTGTTAAGTTTGGGTTAGTTTGGTATGGCACAATGCAGTGTACCTGCAAAACCAAAATGACAGCTATTCGTCATAACCTTGAGGAATACTTTGCTACATTTAGCCTCTAGTGATAATACCTAATTACAGCGTTAACCACTTAGGGAACGGAGATACAGGTCTCGCTTCCGTATCCTACAGGATAAGCGCACTCGGTTGCGCTAGCCCTATAGGAGACGGAAAAATGCTACCGGGTTCGATACTCAGAAGTTGTTGTTTCTTTGTTAAAAAGTGTTTTGTTCGGTTGGGTTGGTTGGTTTGTTTTAGTTTTATAGTAACATAAAATCTACTAGAAGTTGTCGAACTTTTTTATTTTTTTATTTCATAAATTTGTTGCTCCTTTGTTAAAAAGTGTTGGGTTGGTTGGTTTGTTTTAGTTTTATCGTAACATAAAATCTTAAAATTATGACGTAAAATAATTATGACGTAACTAACATTTCCAATCGCGGCACGTTAGCGTGCCTCTAGTCACAGCGACTATAATAATGTATACATATTTTAGCCTATAGACAAAAATATACCTATTTAGGTATAAAGGGTGTCTCCGAATTCCATCCAAAAATTTTAAAGGGGCGTAGCTCCCTTATAAAGCATTTTTTAACACATGATCTTGAGAAATAAAATTTTTGAATGGATTTTTGTCATTTATATATAGGGTGTCTTGAAAATAAAGGACTTATGACCATGGACCCGAACCGGACCGTTTTTGGACAAAAAACCGGACAGGGAACCGGTATTTATTTGTGGACCGGAACCGGAACCGAACCCATATTATTTTTAATTGTAACTTTAGAGACTTTTAGGTTATTTTCGGTTTTCTTCTTAATTTCTTTTTACAAAAATTAAAAAATATATATATTTTGTTTCGTTAAAAAAATCTATAAAATTAGTTTTTTCAAAAAAATATTTAAGCACGGGCTATAAATCTATAAATTATACACTCTAGTATTGTTAGGGGTTCCTGATGTGTTAATAACAATTGTAAATGTTGTATAAATAATTATTGTAAATTTAAGCAAAAATAACTTTATTGGAAAAAAAAGATATCATATGTATAAATAATACTAGGTAACACTGTAATTAATAAACTCCCACTACAAAATATCCTACCGACTGCGCCATGAAGTAAATAATACCAGAGTTACCAGATTTATTAATTAGTGTTGCCCAGTGCAACACAAGTAAAGTCAGTCTCATACAGTTGCGAAATGCAAAAAATGTTTTCATTGGTCCATCTGATTTGGCGGGAAAAGCGTTTCGACAGATCCTGCAAATTCGCAAGATTTGAAATCTAGGGGCGGGTATCTTGAGATTGACAAAATATTTTGCGATAATCGCACTAATTTGACGAGATGCGCATGCATTTCGCATCTAAATTAATGCAATTGCTTATCATACCATCAAGCCATTTATGTTTATTTCGTTTGTATCGTAGTATTTTTTTTAGTTTTATTCGAACTGTTTAAATAAGTGTTTAGAGTTTTTTTATTTTTTATAATGGACAAAGAGTTTTTGAGTTTGAGGTACATTAATGTTTCTTATTTTACCTTTATACTAACTTTACTATTTAAGTACATAAAATAGCTTTTGCAAATATCGCCTAGTGCTATTGCAGCAGTATAAACCAGATCTCCTAGTTCTAGCAGAAACATGGCTAAACATAATGAAAATCAGGAAAACAATATACTAGTGCTTAATTTAAAAGATTTTAACTTTAAAATGGGTGTTGTTTATAAGAGGCATAGATCAAAGATTGAAAATTTCTTGGATGACCTTGGAAAAATATTCTGTGAAAATAAAAAACTGTTACTTTTAGGTGATTTTAACATAAATTTATTGGAAAAAAAGTCAAACTCTTATCGATATAAAGAAAAAATGATGTATATGAAACTTCTTCATGAAAATGGATTAAATGTTGTTAATAAGATTACAGAAAAACATGCTACACGCATAGACGAAAGATGGGGATCTAAAACAATAATAGACCATGTTATTACAGACCTTCCCTTAAAAATTCCACTTAAATTACAAAATCAAAACCTCACCGATCATAAAATGATATCCTTCAATATTGATGTAACAAGTATTCATTTGAATAAAGAAAAACAAAAATATACATCAAAGATAATAAACCATAAGAATCTGGAAAACAATATAAAAGACTATATTCACAACACAAACATAAGAAGTTTTGACCAGCTTATCAAGATGTTAAATGAAAATATCAAAAGTAACACTGTACAAAAGGAAAGATAATATACAAAATCGCTAAAAGAAGGTTGGTTTACTCAGGAAGTACCTACTCAAAAAAGTAAAGGAAAGAGATAGAATATATGTCAAAATGGTAAAGTGTCCAACAAATGGAAAATATAAAATAGAGTTTAATATTCTAAAAAAAATGGTAAAGAAACTTATAAGGCATAACAAACAACACATGGCACACAAATTTGAAAGCACAGATGGGAGACCTAAGAAGCAATGGGACTGTATAAAAAAACTGATAGGTAAAAATGAGTCCAAAACAGGTTGATCAAAGTTAATTATAAACAACAAAGAAATTACGGAACCCGAGAAAATTGCTGATGAAACAAATAAATATTTTATAGGAATAGTAAAAAACATCATTAAACCATCAAAAAACAAAGAGTGTACACTAAACCATAATTCAAATCAATCATTATACCTACAATATACTACGAAAGAGGAAATATTATCAATAATAAAAAAATTAAAAACAAATAAAAGCCATAACGGTAAAAAAGCTTTCAAAAGTGCTTGTCCCTACACTAACAAAGTTAATCAACCAGCATCTCAAACTAGGAACATTTCCAGATACTTATCCTAAAGATTGCTCGTGTGACCCCTATCTACAAAAAAGGAAGTAAAACCAACTTAGCAAACTACAGGCCTATATCTGTGCTTTCAGTATTTTCTAAAATTTTTGAAATGGTCCTACACAAAAGACTCATAAACTTTTTGAATGAAATCAACTTCTTAAGTTATCAACAAAATGGTTTTCAAGAAAAAAAAGCACACAAACTGCGATAATAAATCTAACTGAAAATATCTATAAGAATCTAGAACATAGAAAAACAATCCTAGCTGTATTTCTTGACCTATGTAAAGCTTTTGATGTGGTTGATCCTGAAATTCCGTTAAAGAAGCTTGAGAAAATTGGAGTTATAAATAGAGCCTTTAAAATATTAACTAATTACTTCCACAATCGGTTCCAATACACCAACATTGATAATAAAAATAGCAAGATGGAAAAAATTCTGTATGGAGTTCCACAAGGGTCAGTGTTAGGACCTCTACTGTTCCTAATCTACGTCAATGACATAACTAAATGTGACCTAAAAGGTGAATCAGTCCTATTTGCGGATGACAAAAAAAACAATATTAAACTCAATGAAACTAAGTGCAACTATCTAGTCATAAAAAATAGAAGAAACTGTGATAACTATTCGCTAAAATTAAATAATCAAATTTTGGATAGAGTGAATAGTGCAAAATATTTAGGTTTAATTATTGATGACAATCTTAGTTTTAGTAACCACATTCAAAGTCTTAAAGATAAAATTGGTAATCTAGGCTACTATCTTAGATATAATGCTTATTTAATTAACAACAAAACAAAATATTTAATATACAATGCATACATTAATTCCCACCTAACATATCTTCCAGCCTTTTGGGGGCATGCAGCAAAAAAGGACCTAAAGACTTTGCAAATAACTCAGAACAGACTTCTAAAACTTTTATTTGGCAAACCTTATCGAACCAGTACTACAGATTTATATAATGAATTGAATATATTAAACATTAATGAGGAGATAATGTTGGACAGTGTTAAAGTAGTGTACAAAATCAAAAATAACCTGATAAATACAACAATTAACTTAACTAAAAACTGT